CATGACGGTGGCGACGAATAATAATACTATTCGTACGGTTGATGTTAATGCCACAATGATACTAGGACAACTTGTACGAAGACTGAGACTCATAATAATATTCACAATCATTGTCAGAGTGAGGGGGCCGAACGGTCATTCATTGTCCCTGGGTGCGTGGCTGAAGTGAGATTCCGCGGTGCGGATTCGTGTTGTTGTTGTTGTTGTTTGTTGTTGTTGTTGTTTGTTGTCGTCGTCCCACCCGCAACCCGCCCCGCGACCCACCCGCGACCCACCCCGCGACCCACCCGCGACCCACCCGCGACCCACCCGCGACCCACCCGCGACCCCCACCCCGCGACCCACCCCGCGACCCACCCTGCGACCCACCCGCGACCCACCCGCGACCCACCCGCGACCCACGACCCACCCCGCGACCCACCCCGCGACCCACCCCGCGGCCCACCCCGACCACCCGCGCACCCCGCGACCACCCGCGCCCGCGGCCCACCCCGCGACCCACCCGCGCCCCGCCCGCGCACCCCCCCGCGACCCCACCGCGACCCCCCCGCGACTCACCCCCGACCCAGCCGCGACCCACGCCATTCGACCCAAACCACGTCAAGGTACAAACCAACATTTTCGGCGCCTGCGGCGGCTTTTTTTGCATTCCTTCCAGGTGGAGAGCCCGCGACCCACCCCGCGATCAACTCGCGACAACCCAAGCGACCCAACCACGTTCAGGGTACAAACCACATTTTTCGGCGCCTGCGGCGGGCATCTTTTGAATCGTTCTAGGTGGAGAGACCGCGGCCCACCCGCGACCACGTTCAGGGTACAAACCAATTTTTTCGGCGCCTGCGGCGAGCATCTTTTGCATTCGTTCCCGGTGGAGAACCCGCGGCCCACCCGCGACCCAAACCACGTTCAGTGTACAAACCAATTTTTTCGGCGCCTGCGGCGGGCTGCTTTTGCAGGAGGACGAGGAGGGAGGAGGAGGAGGAGGAGGAGGAGGAGGAGGAGGAGGAGCAGCAGGAGAGGAGGAGGAGGAGCAGCAGCAGAGGAGGAGGAGGAGGAGGGGAGGGGACGACGACGATGACGTCGACGACGACGACGACGAAAAGGAGGAGGGTGGAGGATCGGGAGGGGGGGAAGAGGAGGAGGACGACGAGGAGGAACATGACGACAATGGGAGGACGATGATGGAAGGACGAGGGGGGGAGAGGGAGGACGAGGAAGAAGCGGAGGAGGAGGAGGAGGAGGACGAGGTGGAGGAGGAGGACGACGATGACGATGAGAACGAGGACGAGGACGAGGAAGAGGAGGAGGAGTAGGAGGCGGAGGAGGAGGAGGAGGAGGAGGAGGAGGAGAGGAGGAGGAGGAGGAGAGAGGAGGAGGAGGAAGGAGGAGGAGGAGGAGAGCGCCATCGACAAGGAAGGTGGGGGCCACGAGGTCCGCCGGCTTGACGACGCCCGCGTCGCCCGCGCCCGCCCCCTCACTCTTATCCGCAATTGCGGGGTGCTAGGGTATTGTTAAGAGTGCAGGGGGTAAAAAGAACACCACTACACATGTTAGTACGGCTAAGCATTTCAACAATACCATTACTGATGAAACGAAGAGGAGGAGGAGGAGGAGGAGGAGGAGGAGGAGGAGGAGGAGGGGGAGGAGGAGGAGGGGGAGGAGGAACATGGGTGAGGAGGAGGAGGAGGAGGAGGAAGAGGAGGAGGAGGAGGAGGAGGAGGAGGAAGAGGAGGAGGAGGAGGAGGAGGGGGCTCCGTAGCCATTTTGGCTCAAGTCCGTGGCCATTTTGGCTCAAGCCGCCCACCAGCGGGCGGAACCCCCACTGCTCAAGCCGGCATGGCATGGCCGTCTGGAGTTGGTGCGATTGGAGGTTCTCCGCTGTGAGGTTTGGGAATGGTTGCATGGGACGACGCGGCGCACGCGTCACACAGAACTGCGCAGTACCGCAAGGAGGCGCGCTTGCGTGCCAGGGATGCTGCAGACAGGGCGATCGCTCGGCTGACAGCTGATCTGCGTCAGGCGCGCGCTGTGGAGGTTCAGCTTCGAGGTGCCCTGGGCGCTTTGGTCGGCGACTTCGAGTTGGCTGATCGGGTTTCATCTCTCGTTCCTGCACTTCTGAATCTTCTTCGCGGAGTACCACTGCACCATGACCAAATCCTCATGAATAATGTGGCGCTGCACGCGGAGGCGTCCGTCAGCGTGGTGGGCATGAAACCCCATCAGTTACGGCAGCACCAGCGGGGGCCTCGGCTTGAAGCGCGCCAGGCGAAGCATCGGGCTTCGTTGGCGCTTGCAGGCCTCAGCCCTGCTGCTCCCGTGTTCGCTCCCTCCTGGGGGTTTGGGCTGGCGCCTGTGGCGCCTGGTGTCTGGCAGCCTGCGCTGCTGGACGTTGTAGACGCGGTGCCGCAGCAGCTTTTCACTTGCCATCGCTCGCCGACTCTGCAGGTGCATGTGGGCCTTCTGTCATCTTCCCTGCTTTGAGGGAGTGCATGGCGGACATCGCCGCGGACAGTCAGTTGCGAGGACAGCCCCAACGACGATGACGTGGTCTACGAGGTGGAGGAGGATACTGAGTCGCACTCTGACTGCGAGGTCGGCGAGCGGACGCCGTGTCTTGCCCAGGGGTCCCACTCTCCCTGGGTCGACATGTCTGTGGGTGGTCGCGCCTTCGATGGGAGCATCGTCGACGTCTCTGGCGCAATTCATCAAGCGGTTGAGCATGAGGAAGCAGTTCTTGGGACAGCATGCGACATGCAGTGGGTGCCGCGGGGCTCGCCGCCCGACCCTGGAGAGGGCCGCCGGTTCACTTAGTCATTTCTGTGCTGGTCGGATCGCTGTCCTTCTGGTGTATTCGGCTGCCGCGCCTACGGTTTCATGCGTCTGTGGTGGCATTATTTTCTCTCGGCATCGGGGCTTCCTGGCACAGCGAACGTGTGTTGTATGTGGCTACTGCCCAGATCGCGCTGTCGCTCGGAATCCGCGGGCTCGGTGTTCGCGATTCGGCCTGAACGTCAGCGAGGTGCACCAGGATGTGAGGGATGTGTCTCGCTTCATAATCAACGCGTTCATCGTCGCAGTGTCGTGTTGGTGCTCGTACTCGTACGGCATCTTCGTGTCGCTGGGCCTGATCCCGTTGCTCTTCTGAGGCATGGGAGTTGCTGTCAAAAAGCGAGGAGGAGTGGGAGGAGGAAGATGGGGGAGGAGGAGGAGGAGGACGAGGGAGGAGGAGGAGGAGGAGGACGGGGAGGAGGAGGAGGAGGAGGAGGAGGAGGAGGACGAGGAGGAGGAGGAGGAGGAGGAGGAGGAGGAGGGAGGAGGAGGAGGAGGACGAGGAGGAGGTCGAGGAGGAGGACGAGGAGGAGGACGAGGAGGAGGAGGATGGTGAAGAGGGTGTTGTCAGTTTCCTTCGTCAGTGTACGTTGAATGGAATGTTTGCCTCGCGTCCGTCTGTTGAGTTCGTTGGTGGTAACTGACGTTGTTTCCAGCCTGCGTCGGTTTCTGTCAACCCGCGCATGCGCCCTGCTCGCTAGACCTACGCTCAGCTTCTGCCATCGCCTTCGCTGCAAATCATACAACGCGTTGCTTCCCGCCTGCGCGGTTCCTCTCAATCCGCGCGCGCACCCAGCTCGCCAGACGGACTGTCTCGGCCTGCCCATGCCGCCCCTGCGCGGGCTGAGGCTTGGTTGCTCGTTTTGGCGGCCTGCGCTCCCCCCCCGCTTCGGCGAACACGTCGCCGAAATGCCGTGCCGTGGTGGGCCCTGGGGGGGGGGGGCGGGGAGGGGAATGGATGGCGAGGAAACAACCGTCGCAAACGTCTCCCCCCAGTCCCCGACCCCGCCCCCCAAACCAAAAACCGGCCGCCCAGAGAATGGGGAATTCGTGGGCGCACCTGTGGGGGCAGCTCGGGCGCGCCCCTATCGAAGGTGAGCGCCCGCCCGTCATATCTCCGTGGATGGGGCCCCGATGTTCAAAGTCCAGTCGGAAGCCCAGCAAAGTGGGGGGCCGCCATGCCTCCCGTCGAACCGTCCGCGGCTTTACCGAACGGCGCTGTGCCCCTTCCAAATGAAGGTGGTGTGCACGGCCCCTGTTCCCTCCCCCTGAAGCGACAGGGCAAATTTTGGTGTCCGTTTTCGTTTTGCCGTTTTTCCGATGTTTCAGCGCGGTGCCCTAGTGAATGTGTTCCCAGGTCTCGCGTTTCGTGTATTTACTTGCCAAGGACAGTCTTTTTGCCCAAACTGTTCCGCGGGGCTCCTGGCTGCAACAGTATCGGCTCCCGCCTGAGACCTCCTGACAATTTGTTCGGGAACCGCGCGCGCTCTCTCTCTCTCTCTCTCTCTCTCTCTTTTTTCTCAAGGCTTCCTTGCAATTTGCTCAGGAATTGCATCCTCGATTCGGCCATCCCAGCGAATTATTTAGAACTCGCGCCGCGCTCATGCAGGAATCGTTATCGCTTGGGACGAACTTAGAGATCAGCATGGATAACGCTCTCGTTTGACATCTTCGGAAAGCTACTGTAGGTATCGCGCTCTCGCTGCACATGCATCGCGCTCTCGCCAGGGACTTCCTTGCTTCCCGCCCGCCTGCTTTCATGCCCCGCCCGTCCGAAGCCATATAGGTCCGCCTGCCCGTCCCGCCCGTCAGGGTCCGCCCGCCGGACCTATCCGTTTCAGGGTCCGCCTGCCCGACCCGACCGCCAGGTTCCGCCGCCATGCCCGCCTATTGTAATGTCCCGCCCGCCCAACTCAGCCGCTAGGGCCCGCCAGCTTTCCTTGATAGGAGACCCGCCTGCCCACCTGAATGTCCCGCCCGCCCGACCGGCCTGTCAGTGCCCGCTCGCCCGCTCGACAAGCAATGCACCGCTCTGCTGTGCAGAAGGGGGGTCGATGGCGGACGCAGGTCGGCTTTTTACCCCGAGCCGCTTTTTCGGAGGCCCATCGAGGGCTCCTGGAGGACGGAAGTGGCCAGAAACCGCATGCGGGGCGGGCGAGCCTGGGCCGCAGGACTGGGCCGAGGAGTGCCAGGCGCTCTTCGCGGAGAATGGCTGGGCGTGCGCGGGGGGCCCGGACGCTCGGCAGTTTGCGCGGTGGGCGAACGACGCGGAGGAGGGCATCAGGCAGGGCGGGGGCGGACGAACAAGCGTGTGCCTTGCGCCGGGCGGCGGGCGAGCAGCGTGCAGCACGAGACAGCCAGCTCACAAGAGCAGCCCTGCTTGCATGGGCCCCCCCCACTCCTTCAGGTCGGCGCGGCATCGGGCAGGGTTCAGGCGCCCGACAGAAATCACGGCGGGGAGGGCTCGGCCGTTTTCGGCACGACACCAGGCGGGGCGGGGGCGCCCTGACAAAACGGCGGGAGACTTCTGTTGGCGGCGCCCACAAGGCGTGACGGGGGCGGGGCATTCTCAGAAGGCTGGGGCGTTCTCAGCAGGGCCTGGCGGCTTCTAAGGAGGCTCACTGTAAGCCAGGAGGGCTTGTAAGACGCCGCCTGCCTTCTTGGATGCCCCCCCCGCCTTCTTAGAAGGCCGCCCCCTTCGCGCCACCCCCTTGTGGGTGCTGCCAGTTTTGACCGTTCTCGGGCTTCGGGGGCCCTCAGCGGGCTCCGGGCCCGGCACAACAGTGATCGGGAAACCAAGTTTTGAACAAGTCACGACGTCGGAGGTCAGGGGATGCAACGCCCCCTCCTTTGTCCTTCTCTCCCCTCAGCTGGCGCAAGGAAGCGGAGGGTGCTCACCCGTATCTACCGCCTGAAGGAATGACCTTCCTGGACCTCGGGAGGCAGTGGATGCGAATCTATCCGGGCCCCAGGGCCCACATGCATCCATATATCGAGTAGAAGGTCGACTGCATAATCGATTCGCAGCAGGATTTTTCGACCGAGCTTACGAGCAAATACTTCGATTTTTCGTAGACTAGATGGACTTTTCCCCACATCCTGAGTGGGGTTCTTGTTTTCCTAGACCACCCTCTCCTTTTTGTTTTTTCCTTCTTCTCCTTCTCCGCTTCCCTTCGCCTATACCATACCATACCTGCCATACCCTACCAATGCCATACGTACTATACGATACCATACCCTACCTATACGACCACCCTGCGGGTGATGAGGAGGTTGAGGGGGAGGGGCCCAGCAATGGGCAACAGTGGTGATTGTTGTTCTGACGATGCCAGTGGAGATTGTTGCGTTGCCGCTCGCTCTCGGGAGCTTTGGTGTCGGGTTGTTTACGTCACACTTCGCTATTGGGCGCCTTGGTACCACCCCCTTCCCCCGGGGGCCAACGTCGCACTCGATCGATCTCACTATCGATCTGATTTGTCTCTGACTCGTTTTCCTAAGTGCGAGTGGCCTCGGGAGTTTCAGAGCAGTGGAGCCGCGTCCGTCTCGTTCGCTGCTCCTGCTGTTGCTCTCTCCCTCTGCTCCGAAACCGCTCCTGCTCAAGCTCTATCATTCGTGGGGCCCCCGGCAGTGCATGGTGGTGCCGTGGGCCGCTGCCGGCCCTTGGGCGGCCTCCATCGCGACCGCGTGGCTCTCGCGCTGTCCCGCGTGCCCGGAGGCCCGCGTGACGTGCGGGGCCTGCCTTGTGTGCCCCCCAGCGGCGGCCGCCGCCCCCTGCCCGGGGTGCCCGAGCTGCCCGAGCCGCAGCTTGACCTGCGGGACCGGGCCAGGCTGGTGGGCGGTCCTGGCCGCCCTGGCCGCTGGCCTCGCGGGCGGAGGCAGCCTCCGCGTGGTGCTGGGCTGGGCCGCCTGGGCCGCCTCGTTCTTCGTCGGGAGGACCGACCTGCCGCGGCGCGAGGGTGCCGCGCCCGTGGGCCTGCTCGTCGAGGGCGACGGGACGGGCCAGGACGGCGGTGCTCAGCGCCGCTTCCGGGCAGTGCGGGCGTAGCCTGAACGTTGGCCGTCGGCGAGATGGCGGCGACGGTGATGCGTACGCCCGACGCGCCCGAGCCTCAGGTGTGCGCGTGCTACGACGACGACGTGAACCTTCGGAGGCACCACAGGGTGCCCCTCAGGCAGCTCTGCCCTGGCGTCTGGGTGCCGACGACTCCCGATGGCGAGGTGGAGACGCTGGACCTCAGCAAGCACGAGGTCGGCCCCCTAGGGCGGGCGTCCCCGTTCCCGGCCTGGGTTCAGGGGCAGGTCTGTGCGTTCAACGGTCAGACGAGCGAGGACATCGAGGCGCTGCGGGAGGAGGCTCGCGGCATCGCCCTGGTCATGGGCGTCTTCGCCCCGGCTGGGGCTGCTGGCGGCGTCGTGCCGCGCGGGATCGTCTCGGACCCAGGCTCGCCCGGGTTCTGGCGCGAGCTGGAATCCCCCCTCATCGGCTACCCGGAGCGGCTGATCAGTCGCGACGCTGGGGGCAGTGCGTTGCTCAGCAAGGAGGAGGGGTGGGTCTCGGTCGAGGACGTCCAGCAGGCCGACGAGGCTCGCGGGGGCCAGGTGGCGCTTGTGGAGGCGATCGCGAGGATGAACGCGGTCGACTTTGGCGACTGGCTCCCCTGGGGGTCGAAGGGCTCGCCCGAGCTGCTGGCCGCCGCCCTTGTCACAGGGCTGACCCTCACTTCCTACTGTGGGTACTGGGTCTCGGAGTCACGGGTGTCGCGGTACGCCGCGGTGGCCCAGGAGGTGCGGCACGCGTTGAGCCAGCTGCACCGCGCCGCGACCTACGACCTCGTGGGCCCGTCGAGCCGGGCGTCTCTGGAGCACCTGGGCCGCCGGGTGCTGCAGATCCAGCGGGCAGTGAAGAGGTGCCCGCGCCACCTGAGCTTCGAGGGCCTCGACCTGGCGCTGAGCTGCCCCTTGGACGAGATCAGAGGCGTCGTGACGTCGAAGTTCGACGCGTGCGTGGCCAAGGAGCTGAAGGCGCAGGGCATCGTACTGGGGCAGGATTTGGTGTACCGGGAGGAGCAGGTGTCGGAGGCGAAGAAGTGCGAGAGGCAGGGCGACGACAGGGAAAGGGACCCCAGGGCGGACACAAAGGGCAAGGTGAATCCGAAGCCCGAGGCCGCCGTGAAGGATCAGGGCTGACGGCGCCATGGCGGCGCCATCATGGCTGGGCGCTCCGCCCGGCCTCTCTGGGCCTGGCCCCGACTCCGCAGCCGCGAATGCGCGTCGGGCCGGGCTGCCCTCCGAGGGGGTCTCCTCCGAGGGTCGGACTTCGTCCACAGTTTTGTTTCCTCTGCCGCAGGGCGACGAGTTCTATCGCCACCCTCATCGTGGAGAACGTGCCGCTCTGCCTCGGTATCTGGCCCAGCGTGCTGCTCGTGCTGACGACCGTGATCGGAGGTCTCTCGAGGCCTTGGGGGCGCTCAACGCGCTGGCAGGCGCGCGGGCTGGGGGGCGTCTCGAGCCTCGAGCGCCCGGCAAGCATCGGCCGACTACCGCCCAGGAGTCGGTCATCAAGCGAGTCCGACGTCGTGTCCGCGGCTTCGGCGACCGGCCGAAAGACATGGACTGTGCTGGAGCCCTGCAGGAGCTCCTCAAGTGCAAGGATCTGTACTCAAACATGGGCGAGGCTTCTACTCGCCGCGACTATGATGCTGACAAGCTCAATGTGCTACGACGTGCGCCACATGACCGGCCTCGTCAGCTTCGAGACGTCGCCCCTCGGCACGTCACCGAGGCGCTGGACCGCTTCAACTCGGACGTCGTTCGGCCCACGCCGAGCATCCCCGAGGACGAGGTCATCGTGGAGCCCTACTGGGACCCTCTCCTCAACCCGCGCGACCCTCGGAACCGACCACGCCTTGTCGACTTCCTTCGACGCCTTGCTGCGCGGGGCTTGGTGGATGGCCGGGCGCGTCGGAAGGCGTGCGTCAGTGCCTTCTTCGTGGCCAAGAAGAACGGCGACATCCGCATGGTCGTGGACGCTCGTCAGCCCAACCAGTTGCACAAGCTCCCCCCTCGGACTGTGCTGGCATCCGGCGAGGCGCTGGGCTCGATCAACTTGCTCGACGCCGTCGGTGCAAGCCCCGAGGACTTGGCGGATTTCGATGGCTGCTACGAGTCGCTATGCGCAGGCTCCGTGGACCTCATGGACGGGTTCTACCAGTTCGCCGACCCCTCGTGGGGAAGTTGGATGTGCTTCGACGTGGAGGTCACCGCCGACGAGCTCGGGCTCGACTCGATCTACGACGAGAAGCTCGGGCGGCGCGTGGCTGTGTCAGGCGACGACGTCATCTGGCCCTGCTTCGCGGCGTTGCCCATGGGCTGGAGCTGGGCGCTCTGGATCTGCCACGAGGTTCTCGTCGACGCGATGGACGAGGCGGGCCTCCCAGGCGACGGCTGGTGTCTTGACAAGGCCCGTGCGCCGACTCTCGTCGGGCAGGCGGTCGTCAGGGCGCCGTACGTCGACAACGGGAATCTTGTCGCGCTCAGCGCGCCGGCGCTCAACGACCGGCTGGACAAGCTCACTGCTGAACTGGATCGTCGTGGGCTTCGCTGGCACGAGCTCGAGCGCGCGCAGCCCGGCCTCGTCATCTTGGGGCTGGTGCTCGACGGGCGCGAGGGCCGACTCAGGCATACTGCCAAGCGTGCCTGGAGGCTCTACCTGGCTCTGCACCACGTGCTTCGGACGCCATGGCTCGCTCGCTGGCAGCTACGGCGGATCGTCGGCCACCTGGTCCACTACTTTTCGGTCGTGCGCCCCGGGCTCAGCGTGCTGGGGTCCTGCTACACGTTCATCGGAGACGGCGACCTGGCCCCTGTCGTGCGCTTGCCTGGGGATGTTCTTGGTGAGCTTGCAGTGGCTGCAGGTCTCGTCTTCCTCGGCGAAGTGGACCTGTGCCGCGTGCCGTCCGACGTCGCCTTCACGACCGACAGCTCTCTGCGAGGCTACGCCGTCTGCGAAGCCCGACTGGAGCCGTGGGAGGTACTTGCGGCCACCAGATGGCGCGAGCGCCAGCGGTTCGTTGCCACTGAGCCCGAGGTCGCGCCCGACGACGAGCAGCGCGAAGGGCGGGCCGCCGGCTTGTGCGACATCTCCGGGCCTCTGCCCGTCGAGGTGCCGCCCCGGCTGCGGCACGCCGTGGCGAAGAGGCGCCGGGTCGAGCTCGAGATCGGAGTCCCGCCCGAGCCGTTGGCGGCCGCTCTCCTGGACGCTGGCCGCTGGGTGGAGCGCCGCCGTGGCGCGTGGCGCCGACCGGGACGTATCCGCGCCCTCGAGGCGCGCGCCGCCGTCGCGCCGCTATGGAGAGCGGCAGGCGACGTCAACTTCCACGGGAAGGAGATTCTCAGCCTGTGCGACAACATGTCGTCGGTCCTCGCCTTTGAGAAGGGCAGGGCCGCCAATTTTGAGCTCCTGGCGCAGTGCCGCCGGGCTGCGGCTGTTTGCCTCGGGTGCGAGATCCGCTGGCGCCCAAGGCACGTGCCAGGCATCTACAACGTCGCGGACCACGGGAGTCGGGCGGCCGACCGTGGGGAGCTCCTCGCGGGACGCTACCGCGGACGAGGCGCCCTGTCGACGCCCACCAGCGGCTGCCGCCGATCCCCCGTGGTCCCGCCTGCCGCGGGCAGGGCCGAGGCCCCGCCGACCGCGGTCATCGAGTGTCAGATCGGACAAGAGCAGGCCGAGTCGCTGGGGCCTGAAAACACCGAAAGAGACTGTTGCATTCCGTCACCTTCGTCACATCAGCCCTTCTCTATTACGCATTCCTTTTCTCACCAGAGTAGAAGGCATCAAGATGAAGTCTCGAAAGCACGCCCCAATGACCGACCCCGACAAGACCAACCTGAGCATGTTCGATACCTCCCTGCTGCACTCGAGCCTCCTGGAGTTCTTCTACGGGGCCCACGTGTACATCTTGGGATACGCGAAGGTCCTCAACCGGACCCTCCTGAGCGCCCTCGGTCTCCTGAAGTTCTTCAACAGGGCCCACTCGTGCACCTTGGCCCACACGGAGAGCCCCAACGGGTACTGGCTAAGCGCTCTCGGCCTCCGGAAGTTCCTCAACGGGGTCCCCTTCGTAAAGCCTTCCTCGAGATCTTCGCGGGTACGGCAAATCTCAGTGGTGCGTTGCATGCGCGAGGTTTTCGGATCATGCCCCCGATGGACTCCAAGTATGGGCCCCACTGTGACCTCACGAGCCGTCGAGTCCAACGTCTCGTTGAACATTGGCTCAAGTCAGGAGAAGTCTGGTGGGTCCACCTGGGGCTGCCTTGTACGAGGTGGGTGCCCGCTGGGGGCACCCGCGATCCATTGCCGGCAGACCGCGCGCTCGTGGCGTTCTCAGTCCGTGTCTTACGGCTCTGCCGGACCCTCGGGATCTTCGTCACCTTCGAGAACCCGCCTGCGAGCCGAGTCTGGAAGTGGCCCGCGTTGCAGCGCGAGCTCGAGCGCCTTGCCTGGCCAAAAGTGCTGTTTGACTCGTGCAGGTTCGGCGCGCCCTTCAAGAAGCCAGGTGCGATCGCCGGGAGCCTTCCTGGGCTGGGCCATCTTGCACTGCGCTGCTGCTGTACTTGTCGCCACAGGGTCGAGCTGCAAGGCAAGGTCCGACATCCGACGCGAGGCTGGACGTGGCGTACGACTTTGGCCGGTGCTTACCTGCCCAGCTGGTGCCGCCTGCTGGTCTCGCTGGCTGGCCCAGACGCTCCTCAGAGTGCGTTCGGACGCTCGACCCAGAATGACCTCCAGGCTTGGGCTCACGCGCTGGCCAGCACGGCTGGGGTCGCCGAGCCTCGAGGAGTCTCGGCGCCAATCTGCCCGCAGCGCTTTCGGCTCCCCTGGAGGCCAGGGTGGGCCACCGCGCTCGACCCGCGCCCGCGCAGCCGCTGACGTGGCGGCGCAGCCGCGGTCGCACTGGCAGCCGCAGGCCACGCCCGGCGTCGACGCCCGCCGGGCATCCGTCGAGGCAGGCGCCGACTCAGTCGTGCTGACGCCCAGGCGCCCAGGCCAAGGCCAACGTGACCCTGTCCCCCGCCCAGTGGCTGTGGCCGCCCGGCGCCACCGGGCGCAGACTGCCGCTCGCGGAGACGTCGCTGCCAGTCAACGGCACCCCGCCCTTGGGGGAGTACCTCCGCTGGGCTTGCTGCGGCCAGCCACAGTCGACAACTACACGTCCGCCGTGTTCGAGCTGACCGATTACGCCAATCGCCAGAGCCTACTGCTGACCACGCCGGAGCTGACAAACGAGACGCTCGACTGGTACTTCGAAGACTCGTTCTTTACATGTAAGCCCAGTACTTGACTCGAAAACGATATGTGAGCTCTGCAAAGTTCAGAGATGTTCTGCAGGACGACCTCGAGTCCATGCAACCAGAGATGTCTTACTGGCTGGGCGGCAGTGCTCTGGACTACGCCGCGAGAGCCGTCACAGTTCGAGGCTGTCCAACTGACCTTGCACAATGAAGGCCAGCACTGACTTGCCTGTTCGCCGAAGTATTCTCGAGTTTCTTTACAGACTGAGCCCGTGCCAGACGCTTGATGCTGCCAACTCTGTCCAATCTCTTCCCCTTTCTCTGTTTGAAAAGACTTCAAAGCAGGCCGCCCACTCGACAGGAGTTGGTGATCTCCAGTCAATCCTTCACTAATTGCGCCACGGAGGGCCCTTGCACGACGCTCTGAACTGTATTCGAGTGAACGAAGCCCCAGCAGTGCCAGTGCTGGCGCGCCAGTGAGAGTGATCGTATAAAGAAAGCACGGGTACGCCCTTCGTCTGTGGTCGATGCTCACCGAACCGCAGTGCTCGTCTGCTGCTCGTTTTACTGACTCGACAGTTCGTGACATCCTCTGGCGCGTATGCGCCGCTTAGTCTTGTCTCTTTGCCCCAGCCTCGGACCAAAGCTGGCATAATGATTTTACCCACCCTCCCTCCCGAGGGCATTTGACGATGGGGATGGGACGCAAATGTAATGGCTGTGTGTGGCAATTTTTGGTGATTGCACTTAGCCGCCGAAGTGGTCCCACTTCCTTGGCTCGATTCTTTAGAGTACCACCGTGTGTCCCACGGCGCTTGCCTGATGAAAAGAGATTGATGATCCCTCGTCTCTCGGTTTAATCTTTGCGCTGTCGCTGTTTCCGCAGACCCCATGGGGTGGCCACGCCCTTATGATAGGAATGATTTGTCTCTGACTCGTTTTCCTAAGTGCGAGTGGCCTCGGGAGTTTCAGAGCAGTGGAGCCGCGTCCGTCTCGTTCGCTGCTCCTGCTGTTGCTCTCTCCCTCTGCTCCGAAACCGCTCCTGCTCAAGCTCCCACCCACCGACCCCCACACACCGCAAATGTAATGGCTGTGTGTGGCAATTTTTGGTGATTGCACTTAGCCGCCGAAGTGGTCCCACTTCCTTGGCTCGATTCTTTAGAGTACCACCGTGTGTCCCACGGCGCTTGCCTGATGAAAAGAGATTGATGATCCCTCGTCTCTCGGTTTAATCTTTGCGCTGTCGCTGTTTCCGCAGACCCCATGGGGTGGCCACGCCCTTATGATAGGAATCACTATCGATCTCACTCGATCGATCTCACTCGATCAATCGATCTCAGTATGGTTCTCACTATCGATCTCACAGTCGATATCACTATCGATCTCACTATCGATCTCACAATCGATCTCACTATCGATCTTACTATCGATCTCACTATCGATCTCACGATTGATCTCACTATCGATCTCACGACGGGACACCGACGGGACACCGCAGGACACCGACGGGACACCGACGGGACACCGGCGGGACAGCGGCGGGACACCGCGCGGCCCCGAACGCCGGGTCGCCAAACATTTGGTCCGGCCGCGCCTCAGCCACAGGAGACTTTCCTTTCGCCCGCCCACGCAGCTTCGCCTCGCCCGCACGCACGGCACGCGCGAACACGACACCGAAGTCGATTTCCCGGTAGGGGGGCTCTCCGTTCCACTTCGATCTCGGCATCCGACCATACCATACGTACTATACTATACCATACCTGCCATACCATACCTATCGTATTACCTGCCATCCCCTACCATACCATACGTACTATACTCTACCATACCTGCCATACCGTACCTACCGTATTCGCAAAGCATACTAGATATCAGGTTTCGTGCCCCTCCCACGCCTCCAGGGAGGCCCCGCCTGAGCGAGGAGGGTATCCCAACCCCATACTATTTGCAAGGTTTCGTGCCCCTCCCAGCTCTCCAGAGAGGCCCCGCCTGAGCGAGGAGGGTATCCCCAAACCATACTATTTACAAGGTTTCGAGTCCCTCCCAGCCCTCCAGGCAGGCGCCGCCTGAGCGAGGAGGGTATCCCCAAACCAAGCTATTTACAAGGTTTCGTGCCCCTCCCACCCCTCCAGGGAGGCCCCGCCTGAGCGAGAGTTCCCCAAAACCATACTAGATATCAGGTTTCGTGCCCCTCCCACCTCTCTAGAGAGGTCCCGCTTGAGCGAGGAGGGCATCCCCACACCATACTATTTACAAGGTTTCGTGCCCCTCCCAGCCCTCCAGACAGGCCCCGTTTGAGCGAGGAGGGTATCCCACAACCATACTATTTACAAGGTTTGGTGCCCCTCCCACCTCTCTAGGGAGGCCCCGCCTGAGCGAGGAGGGTATCCCGAAGCCAAACTATTTACAAGGTTTCGTGCCCCTCCCACCCCTCCAGGGAGGCCCCGCCTGAGCGAGAGTTTCTCCAAACCGTACTAGATATTAGGTTTCGTGCCCCTCCCACCTCTCTAGAGAGGTCCCGCTTGAGCGAGGAGGGCATCCCCACACCATACTATTTACAAAGTTTCGTGACCCTCCCACCCCTCCAGGCAGGCCCCGCCTGAGCGCGGAGGGTATCCCCAAACCGTACTATTAACAAGGTTTGGTGCCCCTCTGTGAAGCGAAGCTTCACAGGGTACACTCCTTTTCCACACGGCCAGCACTCGTCCTCGTTGCTGGTCTCCACCAGGCGCTCCTCTGGCGCCTTCTCGCACACGCACGCACTGCTGAGCTGGGAGAGGTAGGATGTTGGATATGGAGTGTTCGTATTGGGCTCGATGTTGGTAGAATAGGAAAGACGAGGGAGGTACTCTTACCTCCGGGGCTCCCGTGGCCCCGATGAAGGCCTGTAGCACAAATGGCTATGGCCGGAGCGAATGACTGCACATTAGGGTGAACCGAGAGAAATCGACACCGGTCCAAAAACATTTTCGCTCAAGTCCATGATTGAAACGACAGGCCTGAAACGTGCGTGTGTCACTTGCCAGCGGGAGTTGCCACATCACCCCAGAGATCTGGCCTAAAATCGAGACATGTCACATTCTCTAGAGCCTGGATGCCTAGACTCTTACGCTTCTTAGCCGACTCAAACATCTGATCGTAAACAAGACGCCACCTACACCTGTTACTGAAAAAAAACTCTAGCTGCCATCGTTCGTGGCCCTTTGTGAGACTGTTGGCGAGCATGGCATCACTGTGTACCCAGCGTACAGGACATTCACACGCTAATATCCCGTCCCTCAGAGCGAGCAGCTCAAGACCAGTCCGGAACTCCTTGCCACCCATGAGCCTCTCTGGACAGCGCAGACGATCATACAAGTTCTTAGAGTCGGTCATCAGGCAGCCTGGGACTTTCCGAACCTGGGCCCATGGGTCTCTGAGATTGGGTTTCCATCCCGAGAGTTCTGCCAGAAGAAACCTCACATACGTGACCTCATCCTCGGTATTGACTGTGGCTGAAACCTCTGCTGCTGCCGGTGACCGACACGTGCGCTCGATTTTGCCTGACCTCCAACTGATCAGGGAAACTCCTGTCTCCTCGCCGGACAGGAAGCACAGCGGCACGATTCCGACTACGCGGCCCTCAGTCGACTTGCCGTCCACGCGGTTGCCGAACGCCGCGTCGCCCCAGCCGACAACTGCCAGCTCGCTGTCCACAAACGGGAAGATCTCCAGCACCTGTTCTTAGTCTCCTTGGCCCGCTTGATCAGCTTGTTGACCTTCAGAAGGTCGTCCACAGTGCATGACTCCGTCTTGCTCTGCAGCAGGCTCAACTCTGCCAGGATGTCGGGCCCGGTCTGGGTGCCCTTCCACTGCAGGCTCCCCGTGGCAGCCCGGAACTGGCTCTTCTCGGCGTTCGTCACGGGCGCAGAGGGTTGCTTCCGTCGTTCAGCTGGGACCTCGACCTCCTCGATCTGCTCCGTGTAGGTTGCCTGGCTCAGCGTGAAACCGAGATCGGGCCTCTGAGTGATGTCGACGCCGCACTGAGTGAACGTGTCGTACTCCCACTCGGTCCATCTGAACGCCTCCATCACCTGACGTCTTGCCTGCTGCCAGACCTTGTCCGCTTCGCGGCCGGCGAACAAGAAATCATCCACATGAGATAGAGCAATGGCTACGATATAGTCAGGGCCTCCCGCTGTCGAGGGACTCGTCAGGACCCACACACATGGATCGGACTCGAGTTGCCGCCAACTCAGCTCCTTCAGCTTGCGATTCACTGCCTGGTGCCATGCTCGAGGTGCCTGCACCAGGCCGTACGCCGACTTCTTCAGGATGGCCGCCTGACCAGAGCGCAGTCCCAGCATCTCCGCGATCTCGCCGGTGGGCTTGACGAACAGGTCCCGGTCGAGCTCCTCACCCTGAAGGAACGCGGACTTCACGTCACCCTTGGCCACCCGCATCTTCAGGTTCGCCGCTTTCTGCAGAAACACCTGACGGGCGGTGCGAGTCGCTGTCGGCGCGTACGACTCCTCGGTGGTGAGGTCTGGGTCCTGGCAGCCCAGGATCACCAGCCGCGCCTTCGCACGTCGACCCCCGGTTTCTGCGGGATCGATCTTCCACGTCAAGACCCATCTGAGGCGCATCAGCCGGTCGCTGGGAGCCGTGACATGGCTCTGTAGACCTTCCAGGACCATCTCCTTGATCCACTCCTGCGCCTCCTTCATCTTGGCCTCCTTGAACTTCTCCAGGTCTGCGGCCGACAGTGTCCGCTCTCGAACCTCCGCACGCTGACGTCGCAGTTGAGTGGCCACAAACGCTGGCAGGTCACGCGCGGCAGAACCGCCTCGCGCACCCTCGGGAAGACTGATCTCCACCTCGATGGCGTTGTCCTCCCTGCTCCAGAAGCACTCGAACGGCTGGACCTCCGCTGTCAGGCCCTGCTCCTCGGTCTGGTCGCGTCGCTTCTGTCTGTCCGACCGCTCCTTGCCGTAGTGATCTCCGCCAGCCGCCGCAGCTGGTGGAAGACCGTCCCAGTCATACGGTGAGGGTCTCGATGGAGTCGTTCGAGATTTATTCGGCGGCCTTGCAGGTGTCGCCGAAAACGTAGCCGTCTCCGGCGCCCGACTCTGAGAGGCCGAAGCTGATGAGCTCGCTGCCGATGGTCTGACTCGCGGCTGTTTGGACGATGTGTGAGGCTCCGTCGGTACCCGCTTGCCGCTGATACGTCTCTTAGGCTCCTCCGCCGCTGGCGAAACCGTCGGAAGTGGTGGTGCATCTCCTGCGTCCACAAACTCCGTGTCGCTCGGGATCAGGCGCGGATCGTCGGCGAGGTCCTCATACTGACCTGCTCTAAGACCCTGGCTCATGCTGTTGAACGTCCACGGCATCTCGGTACCATGTATGATCTCGTGCTCGGCCACCTCTCGATCAGATGCATCCCGGAGCTGACAAGAATCACAGCGAATGAGGCGGCCACACGCGTTCAGCCACACACGAGGTCGAGGTTGAACTTCACCGTCCCTGTGAACCGTCTCCGTAGCCAGAACTCGAGCCGGACCGTAGAACCTGCCCGTCATGGAGCTGCTCTTCGGGTTCCTGAAATAGTACACCAACGTACCCGGAGTGTATACATTCAGCTTCCGCGATCTGGCATGGCTGGCACGGCGAGCACGTTCGGCATAGACCCATCTCAGCATCGCCTCCTGCGCCTGTCGCATGAATTTGAAGTTCTCCCCGAACGCGGCGTCGACCGCCTCCGACTCCAGCGCCGGAAGGTTGGCTGGATCACCTGGCGCATCCATGAATGACCCGTCGAGGTCTGGTGCTCGGCCAAGTGCCACCTGCAGCGGTGAGAAGCCCCGGTGCCGGTCGAGCTCGTTATAGGCTGCCATCGCGCGCGCCAGGTATTCCTCGCATGACCTTCCCGGGCACTCGCGTGCCAAGACCGTCATCAGATCCTTGATGAGGCTGATGAGCCGCTCGATGCCGCCGATCTGCCAGTGCGCCTGCCCGGGGATGGGGTCCATCTGAATGCCGCTGGACTCCAGGTTCTCCCGGATGATCTTGCTCATCCAGGCGCCCTCTGGATCGACCTGAAATATCCTCGGACGGCCAAAATAGGCGATCCACCGGCTCCAGATCGAGTCCTTCAACTCCTCGGCGGTCGCGTTCTTACTCTTGACCATCTTGAACAGAACATGTCCAACTCCGAGCTTCGAACCCTGGTCAAGGTACAGCGCTAACTTGAACTTCTCGTTGCTGCACGGGTCCTCCCACTCGGCTAGGTCGCTCTGCAAAACGGCCCACTTCTTCGGCACCTCATCCGCCGAACCGACTGGACGTGGAGGTCCGTGCTTTTGGCTCTCGTCACAGGCCGGGCACCGCATGCCTTTCACGTGCTCCACGATCCTCTTATCAGCACCTCGAGCCGCCAACGACCTAGCGACCTGGACGAACGGACAGTGTCCGCATGCGGCGTGGACCCGCACGGCCGCGATCTCCACCTTCCGAAGCTCGTCAGAGTCGAGCCCTGTCTTCGAGGCGTTCACTGCGTAGACCGTGTCGATCTCTTCGTCCGCGGCCTCGAACTCGCGCACGAGGTTGCAGGTCTCCTCCATCCTCGGCTCCTCCAGCATGGCCCTGGCCGCCCTCTTGACGAATGCGTCTGGGTAGTACGCTGTGGCCGCCGTCCTGGCGCCGCCGACACAAGGACTGTGCTCATGACGTCCATCGCACCTGATAGCCATCCTCTGGCACATGCGGTCGGAAGTGGTCCAGATCTCCCAGGGTTTGACCATCGGCAACCCAGTGTCACGAGCTTTGACGCCCAGCATGCAGCCATCGCAGACCACCGGACGCATGTCGCACTCCCTGAAGACCTGCTGGAGCTCTGGCCACCGATACGGCTGCAGGTCCTTCGGCCACTCCCAGTGTACATGACCTCGGTCCGCCACCTGGTCCATGACGAGGATCAGGCAGTTCCTGATGAGGCGCTTGGACCTCTTCCGACTGAAGAGAACCTGCGCCCAGACCTCTGGCTTGTTACGATTGAAATTGTTATTGCCGGACCATGGCCCACAAGGTAGAGAGAACCACATATGCTCAGGACGTACTCGCTCTCGCTCAGCTCTGGCCTTTTGCAGGCCTGCAGTGGTGGATAAATCGAAACCGTCCCAGACACTAATTCGACTCGCACTGTCCGCACCCGACTCTTGCATCACGAATTGAGATAGGCCCGACGCTGGTGAGCAACAGACCTCCATTAGCTTCACTCTCGCAGCCCCGGTCAGGAACGTCCATGCTGGCGTTGCACTCTTGTCCAGGCACCCCGCCAGCCAGGTAGCCTGAGAGTCCGTGAGATCCCTCAGTGGCCCTGCGCGGCCGGCCCAGGCGGGCCGCTCGACACTAAGCTCGTCTCCTCCACCTTCTGCACCCTGGTCGTGAGCGCGTTCATGGCCATCTTCATGTCCCCAAGCAGGTCGATGATCTGCTCCTCCTTGGACTTCCCCGTCTCCATCGCGGCGGTCTCCTCCGTCATGGAGCGCTTTGCCGTCGGACGCTGACGAGGCTGATCCTTGACCAGCAGCCACGGGCCCTCCGTCTTCTCGAGCTTCTCCCCCTTCACCCTGGGCTGAGGCAGCTCGAACTTGTTCATCATGTCCTCGGACTTGATCCCCTTCATGACCAGCCAGTCGGTGAGACGCTTGAGGCGCGGATTGCTCAGGCTCACCAGCCACCTGGCGTACTCCCGCTCCTTCTCCAGCAGCTCCTGGATAGTCAACGTCCGGTGGCGACCGAACGGCATCATGTCGGAGCCCTTGACCATCACCAGGGACTGCTCGTGCTTCTCGGTGATCAGGATCTGGAGGTCGCCGCGCGTCTCCTTGCCCGTCAGGACGCAGCCCATGGTAGTCGCATCCTCGACAAGCTCGGCCTTCTTCTTGTGGCGCACGGGTGCCCCACCGACTGGCATTGCCTTGTAGATCTGGCGCAGCCTGGCCCGCAGCATGTCGCACGTCATGTGGGTGCCGTCCTCGTCGCATAGCGCCAGCTCTGTAAGGAGCTCTGCCTTGCGCATGCAGGACGTGGCAGGGTGCTGGGACATCTGATCGTACGTCCGGAGGCGGCGGGATGCTCGCGAAAGCCGACGCTTGAGCCGTCGCACTCTGGGACTGTAGTGTTGTTGACCATGTTGGATTCAGTCTGGCATCGGCCTTCCGTAGGGCCGATTCTTCTGCTTCGGGACCCCGAGGAGGCCCTCTGGATACTTGATCTCCCAAGACATCTTGATTAGGTTCCCCGAGACGTCTGGACTCCTCTGGATTCGTAGACCTACTCTGCGGACCTGTGGTGACTCTAGGAGATCCCGTAGATGTACTCAGTGGACCTGTAGACCGACTCTGTGACCCCGTAGACCGACTCTGTGAACCCGTAGACCTACTCTGTGGACTCGCAGATCCTATTGGAGATCCCGTAGAGGTACTCTGTGAGCCAGTAGATGTACTTGAGAACCTCGTAGTCTTTCTCGGAGCTCCCGTCGATGCCCTGCAAGGCCCAGAGGATGTACATGGTATCCCCGTGGGGCCTGAGAGTGCCTCTGAACCTGCGCTGCTGTCGGTGATCGATGCCGCCAACGCCAGAGGTGATGACGATGAGGAGGGAGGGATGTATGACGCACCAGGCTCAGGCGACTCCTCGCCCGCTAGGACCCCAACAGGCTTGTCTGCAAGTGCTGCCACTCCCCGACTCAGAATGCAATCTGCCGGTCTCTCGACACTCGCCGTACCGCCCAGCAAGTCGCACGTCAGGTCGATCAGTAGGTGGCCAGTACGGGACCTGGGGAACGAGATCATCCTGAACGGGTCGATCTTCTTGAAGATACCACAGGCCGCATCGAAATCCACGATGGCCCCCAGGTTGTTCAGCGTCTCGATCGACACCAGGATAGGAATACCCTTCGCGTTGATCGCGTGAACGAAAAACGGCACGTATTCTCCTTGCACCAAAAGGGTAAACTTGACCCGGCACAGGACACGCTTCACCTCGCCGTTGCCGAACTTGTAGACGGGCAGGTCCTGCAGGTCGACCTCCATCGGCGGGTGCCCCCTGGAGATCAGGATCTCGTTGAGGGTCTCCACCGCCTCGATACCTCCAGTGGTCTTCGCCGCCCCGCGGTCCATGATGCCGTGCCCTTTCTCGGTGGCCCTCTCGACGACGTACGCCATCCTGACCTCTGGGTCGTCGAAGTCCACCACGTTGCCGAGCTCCTCTACCTGCAGCTCGGTCTCGTCATCTGAGCGGGCGTCGTACTCCGCCATCAAAATGAAGCCGTGGAGCTTGCCGCCGCTGTCGCCGCCACCCCGGCCAGGTGCCGGGCGGTTCTGGCTCAACTTGGGGTCCGCCTTGTCCGGACAGCCCCCAGTGCGATGGGCACCTCCGCACTTGAGGCACGGACCCTGACGCCCGTCACTGCGCTGGCCCCCTCCAGAGCCGAAGAACTTCCTGCTCGTGCGGTGCTTGTTGATCTGCTGCCGTGCGTCCTGGAGCCTTCTCTGGCTCGCCTGGAACTGGGCGTAGGCTTCCTCTTCCTCCGTGATCGCTGTCGCGTAGGCCTCGTCGTCGACGCCTTCTTCCTCGCCTTCCGTTGTCGACGCCACTGCCAGCGCATTGTCCCTCTCGTCGCCGTCGCCCCAGGTCTGCGCGTCGTCCCCGTAGAACGCCGCCGCGGCCACTTGCTGCCGGATGAACTTCGACTTCCTGTAGTCCCTGTCCTTCAGGTTCTCGTCACTAGGCCACTGAGTCCTGAGAGCGCTCTCGACATTGTCGACTGTGAAATCGCCACGACACGATCCGATCACTGCTGCTATCTCGCCGCCGTCCAGGCCTGCGCGATGTAGTAGATGCCATCCTCTGATCACACTCGGCAGCACCTCTGGCAAGTCCTGGGTGGGGAAAGAGCATTGACTGCTGCCTCTGGCCCCGCCATGGGCCCATGGATATCTATCCCAGCTCTGCCATCCATTGTTGCGCCACCCGTCTTGCCGTCCGCGGTCGCCGTGCCACGCCTGTCCGTACCACTGAGCTTCGGGAATTTGCCAGTCTCGCACTTCAGGCGCTTCCTCATCGCCCTCGGGAGTGCCCTCTTCACTCTCGACGCGGTGCCACGAAGCATCACCTGGACTGGGTTGGCCGCCCGTCGGCGACTGACTGAATGAAGCTGCATGGGTATTAGGCGTGTCCGGCATGAACTGGTCCTTGCCGTTCTTTCTGACCGTTCTAGCTAGAGCCACTCGAAGACGCTGGTAGCTCTCGTGCACACGAAGGCAATACTCAGCCATGCCCTCGCCGCGCCGGCGGCGGAGCTTCACGAAGTACTCCTCCATGTAGTGCCCGACGTCTTCGACCGGCTGTCGCATCACATTCTTCTGTAGGTACTCCAGCAGGTAGTCAGCACCCCAAGAGTTGGACAGCCACCTGCGAGGCCGGCCGATGCAAGCTGTTGCCGCTGCACCCGTCAGCCGAGCGACCAACCTGGGGCCGCACAGGTACCTGTCCTCCCACTTCATGCCGTCCACGTAGTTCATCACATCCTGCTGGTACTTCTCCCATGTGCCGGCGCCGCCGTTCCACGTCGGCACCGTCGGGGTCTTCATGACCTCTGCCATGTCTCCGTGGAGCAGAAACCTGCTCCGCTACCATGTGAAGCGAAGCTTCACAGGGTACACTCCTTTTCCACACGGCCAGCACTCGTCCTCGTTGCTGGTCTCCACCAGGCGCTCCTCTGGCGCCTTCTCGCACACGCACACACTGCTGAGCTGGGAGAGGTAGGATGTTGGATATGGAGTGTTCGTATTGGGCTCGATGTTGGTAGAATAGGAAAGGCGAGGGAGGTACTCTTACCTCCGGGGCTCCCGTGGCCCCGATGAAGGCCTGTAGCACAAATGGCTGTGGACGGAGCGAATGACTGCACATTAGGGTGAACCGAGAGAAATCGACACCCTCCCACCCCTCTAGGGAGGCCCCGCCTGAGCGAGGAGGGTCTCCCAAAACCATACTATTTACAAGGTTTCGTGCCCCTCCCACCCCTCCAGGGAGGCCCCGTCTGAGCGAGAAGGTTTCCCTAAACTATACTAGATATCAGGTTTCGTGCCCCTCCCACCTCTCTAGAGAGGTCCCGCTTGAGCGACGAGGGCATCCGAACACTATATTATTTACAAGGTTTCGAGCCCCTCCCAGACCTCCAGGCAGGCCCCGCCTGAGCGAGGAGGGTATCCCCAAACCATACTATTTACAAGGTTTGGTGCCCCTCCCACCTCTGCAGGGAGGCCCCGCCTGAGCGAGGACGGTATCCCAAAACCAAACTATTTACAAGGTTTTGTGCCCCTCCCACTCCTCCAGGGAGGCCCCCCTGAGCGAGAAAGGTATCCCAAAACCATATGATTTACAAGGTTTCGTGCCCCTCCCACCCCTCCACGGAAGCCCCGCCTGAGCGCGGAGGGTATTCTAAAACCATATTGTTTAAATGGATCCGTGCCCCTCCCACCCATCCAGAGCGGCCCCGCCTGTGCGAGGAGGAAGGGGAGTTCGGCGATGAGGAAGGGTTGATGGTGATGATGGTGGCCTGAGGTTAATGCCGCCGAGCGCGGCCTCCTTTGACCGCATCCTACACATCCATCCTCCCCCCCATGCTGCTTCCCCTCCTCGCCTCCGTCGGCCCTTCCATGACAATATATGGACATCGTAGGCCTCCATTTTTTGGCACTGCTTTTATGCCCACGTGATCCCGCCAACCCCGTAACATCCTTGTGTGGGGAACTCCGTTCGCACAATTCGTAGATCTGACGAACAGACGAATCCTGGGGTAAATCCATTCTGCAGTCGATCTCCTGCTCGAGATATCCACCGCCCCCCAGGGCCCCAGGACAGCGGTTCCACAGGCGGTGGATATGGAGAGGTCCCCGCCGATCCGAGAAGTCCGCGCGGATCTGAGAGTTTTTACGTTCATGTCATTCTTCGTTCCCCTAAAGAGTGACCCTTCGCCGAGGTGACCGTCAGAGCGAGCTCGTTGGGGTCCCTGGACGGCCGAGGGCGATGCGGCAGCAGCGGCCTGCGCGCCTGGGCGTGGCGCCCCCGCGCCCCCCCGAGAGCTGCGCGCCAGAGGTCACCCTTGCCCGGGGTCACTCCGTGCGTGTACGGTCGGGGCGCTCAAGAAGGAACCCTGTTCGTTGGGGAGGGGCTCGGCGTTCCTTGGTTGTTTTACAGTTTGCCTTGGGTTTTCCTTGGGGGTTCCATGGGAAATCGAAGTTTATCTCATGGGAAAAAGGGGCCTCGTTCCTTATCTAGGGTTCCTCAGGTCAACGCCCCGACTGTAGTCGAATCGGCTCATGTGGTGCTTCGCGTCGGTATGGTGTGCGCTGGAAGGCTTCAGCAGCTGGTGTGGTGTGCGTTGGAAGGATACAGCGCGGCGCTGTGGCGCCGCCGGCCCGCTCATCACACGCTTTCCCCCCACCTTGGGGGCAGCGTGCGCCGGAGAAGCCCTGGCATGGGGGATAGCGCGCACAGGAGGGGCCCTCGCGGGGGCATCGCCCGATGGGAAGAGCGTGCTTTTCGAACATCGATGTTGCACGCTGTCGTTCCAACGCCAACTGTAAGCCTCAAGCGAGGGAAGCTGTGCAAATATCAAATTATCCCGGCGAAGGACCCACCATCTGCGGCTGCGAGTATCGCGTGCAGGTCAAGGGCCTTCGGCCGCTGGGGTCTTCGGTGGGGCTCCCATATGGGGCCACGAAGCGTGTGAGGGATGTGCCGGATTACGTGCGGGTGCGCCATGCGGACGTTGCCGCTGGGGCCTTCGGTGGAGCTCCCTGTGGGGCCACGAAGCGTGTGAAGGGTGTGTCGAATTGGGTGCGGGTAAGCCATGCGGACGCTGCCGCTCGGGCCTTCGGTGGCGCTTCGTATGGGGCCATGAAGCGTGTGAGGGGTGCGCCGACTTGGGTGCGGGTGCGACATGTGGACGCTGTGGCTGGGGCCTTCGGTGTAGCTCCCTGTGAGGCCACGAAACGTGTGAGGGGTGTGCTGAATGTCGTGGGGGTGCGCCATGCGGATGTTGTCGCTGGGGCCTTCGGTGGGGCTCGTATGAGGGATGTGCCGACTTAAGTGCGGGTGCGCCATGCGGATGTTGCCGCTTGGGCCTGCGTTGGAACTCCTTATGGGGCCACGGAACGTGTGGGGAGTGTGCCGACTTGGGTGCGGGTGCGCTATGCAGACGCTGCCGCTGGGGCCTTCGGTGGAGCTCCCTGTGGGACCACGAAGCGTGCGAGGGGTGTGCCGAATTGGGCGCGGGTGCGCCATGCGGATGTTGCCGCTTGGGCCTGCGTTGGAGCTCCCTATGGGGCCACGAAGCGTGTCAGGGGTGTGCCGACTTGGGTGCGGGTAAGCCACGCGGACGCTGCCGTTAGGGCTTTCGGTGGAGCTTCCGATGGGGCCACGAAACGTGTGTGTGGTGTGTGCCGAATTGGGTGCGGGTGCGACATACGGACGCTGCCGCTTGGGCCTGCGTTGGAGCTCCCTGTGGGGCCATGAAGCGTGGGAAGGGGTGTGCCGACTTGGGTGCGGGTACGCCATGCGGACGCTGCCGCTGGGGCCTTCGGTGGAGCTCCCTACTGGGCCACGAAGCGTGTGAAGGGTGTGTCGACTTGGGTGCGGGTGCGCCATGCGGACGTTGCCGCTGGGGCCTTCGGCGGAGCCCATGGTGAGGTCACGAAACGTGTGAGGAGTGTGTGGACTTGGGTGCGGCTGAGCCATGCGGACGCTGCCGCTGGGGCCTGCGTTGGAGCTCCCTGTGGGGCCACGAAGCGTGCGAGGGGTGTGTCGAATCGGGTGCGGGTATGCCACGCGGACGCTGCGGCTGACGCCTTCGGTGGAGCTCCCCCTGGGACCACGAAGCGTGTGAGGGGTGTGCCGACTTGGGTGCGGGTGCGCCAGGCGGGCGTTGCCACTAGTGCCTAAGGCAGAGGTCCCTTTGGAGCCACGAAGCATGTGGCGTGTGTGTGTGCCGAAACAGTGACATGCGGAGGTGAAGGCAGGAATAGGTTGAGGGAGCAGGGATGAGGGGGAGAAGGGGGCGGGATGGAGGAACGCGGGGCGCTGTCTTTTCAAAACGAGGACCCAGCACCACATGATGGCTGGGAAGAACGGACGGAGCCCACACGGGGCGCACAGGTCGCATCCCCCTCCTGGCCTTAGCCTCTGTCGCAGGTCATGGCCACCTGTTCCCCGGGTGGCTCTATCCGGTTTCAATCCCCGCGTGCTGTGACGTGGTGATCCCAAGGTGTAGAAAACCGTCATTGCGCTGAAACTCGTTTCGCCTGTGGGGCTCGTCAGTCAGCTAATGCGCCGCAGATGGCAGCAGTGCTCGAGCGATTTGCAATCACGATTCGGTGGCAATACGATCTGCCCTCCCAGCGCCAGGTCGCGCTTTCGGCCCCGGGGAGCCGAGATGGGCCCGCGGGCCGAGAAGCCGAGTGGGCGCCGAGGGCCGCCGAAGAGGCCGCCGGAGAGGGCGCCGGAGAGGGCACCGAGGGCCCGCCGAAGGCCGCCCGCCGAAGGCCACCGAGGGCCGCGCGCGGCGCGTCCGCCTCGCGCCGCCGGGCAGGTGCGGGGACGAGGAGGTGCGGGCGATGCTGGCCGCGCTCGCCGACCGCGCGCTCACCGCCCCGCTGCCTCTGGTCGCGCGCGCGTGGCGCACGCACCGCAGCAGGCAGCCACGGGGAGGGTGCGGGATCGGGGGCTTCGAGGTCGAGGCTTGAGCTTCTGCGGCTCCCGCGGGCGCCACTGGGCGTTTTGGGGGCCTCCGAGGGGGGCGTCGCGTCGCCGCGGCGGGGTTCTCTTCGGGATTCTGGTCAGAGCACGCCCTGGGACGGCTTCGGGGGTCGACTGGGGCCTCAGAGTAGAGAGGCATGCACCTACCAATGCCCTTCCCTCGTCTTTGCCTTCTTTGTGCCTCCTGGGGGGCCCTCGACGCCACGGCTGGATTCGCCTTGGAGCCTTTCTCGGAACGCACCCCTTGAGAGGTCCGAGGGGTACTCTGTGGATGGGGTATTCATTCATGTATCCATTGGGGGGGTGATTTACCTTCCGACGGAGCTTGTCCATCCGCCCTCCCCTCCCTTCCCCTCCCCTCGCCCTCCCCCTCCTCCTGTGAAAGGAACCCGTCTCATACCCTCATCTCTACTCCTCACTCGCCCTTTTGCTTGCCTTATCGGCTCAGGTACTGGAAGAGACCAGGACGCTGGTCGCACAGGAGGAAAAGATCCCTATCTTTCCCTCCTTCCTCTACCTACGGATCAGGGGTTCTATACCTTTGTACTCTAACCCCATACACAGGTTATCCGCCCTTAATTAAAGCTCACCATTCACCGAACCCCGCATCGCGATCTCGCCCGCAGCCACGATGGATCCACCACGGCGACTCCGCCGTAAGGGGTCCGTCGCGGCTCCGCGTGCGAGCTCTCCGACGGCGCGTGGGCTTGGTGATACTGTGGAGAACATTGGAGGTGACCGTGTGGGTGTCCCCGATACCCCCCCAGCTCCGACGGCCCCGAGGCTCGTCTCGCGGCATAACTTCGCCGCATCGATGCCCAAGGGGGGACAGGAGGAGGATTAGGAACAGGCGTTGGAGGGATTGGTCCCAACACGCCCAGCTTCGATCCTATTTCTCCTCTTCCTACGTCGGGGGCAATCCCTACTGCGTCGGGCGCAAGCCCTACTGGTCTCGATACTCCTGGACGCTTCCGCGCACGCCGCCGTTGGAGCAGTGGCGCTGGCCCAGCCAGTCCAGCCACCGTCCCCGCGTCGGCGCACGTGGCAGCATTCGAGGAGCTCGGAAGACCAGTGGCGGCGCAGCCGCCGACGCAGAACTTTTAGGTATTATCATCTCATCAGACACCGCGTGCACGCGGCCTTAGCCGCAGCTCGTCTCAGCGCGCCCGTCGTGAGGCCGCAGGCCCCTACGACGAGCGCCGGTCGAGCTCGCGTGCAGCCTCTCTGAGGCCGCGCGCTTCTGGCGAGAGAGTGCCGCGGGGGGCTGACGCCTCTCGCTTCCTTCTCTCAGACGACCTGTCGGCGGCTACGCCCGCTGCAGGCGACCTCGCTGGGCTTCGAGAACAGGTTGAAACCTTCGTGTCCAGGCAGTGCTCGGGACTGGTGCAGAGTGTTCAGACGAACGCTGCACGCGCTGCTGCGCTTCGCCCAGAGTTCGACGGCGCCTTAGCGATCATCGCTTCGAGGATCGCCGAAGATCGCCGAATCTTAGGAGAGTTGCAATATCAGGTTGGCCGTGAAGTGTCACACACAGGTGAACGGTCCGCGACGGTCGACCACCTGCGCGACTACCTTGCGCAGATGGACCAGCAGCTTGTCGTCGTCCGCGACGCAGGCGTGTCCGCGGTCAGGGTCTTGCATGATGAGATCCACGATCAGCTGCGCAATCGACCCCCTCCGACCGAGGCGCATGACCTCGGCGATTTTCAGTTCCAGATCAATGGTCTGCGATCGCACGTGGAACATACTACGGCTACGCTTCGCGCTGAAGCAGGTGCAAACTCTTCGACCTTGCTCGGAGTGTTGCAGAATACTGAGAGAATCCTCGCTCAACGGCTTGATGCGACCAACGCTGTTGTGCAGCCCCTCGCAGACCGAATCTCTGTGATCGAGCAGTGTTTGCCTGGAGTACAGGACGCCCTGGCAGAGTTGCGCGTTGGGCGAGCCCAGACTGGCCAGCTGGAATCTCCTCCTTCGGTTTACGATTTCGCTCCCCCCGCTGGCAGGTTGCAGGGGGTTAGGGCGGCGGCGGGCCACGCGCAGTCTGAGCTCTCCCAGGCCCTTCGGGGCAGAGATGCTGAAAAAAAGATACGTTTTGAGAAATTTCTCACGCGTTTGGAAAGTGAGATGGAGGCGCGCAACGTCCGTCTCCGAGCTTGCGAGCAGAGACTTGATTGGTATTCCCAGCGCTCTCGGGACACCGATAAGGAGGTCAACTCGTCGAAGCACGATCTACGCTCCGCGCGCCAACGAGTTGACCACATGCACGAGGACATGGCAAACTGGACGTCTCTACTGACCGACCGCGCTAACGACGTTACACTTCACACGCAACCATCGCCAGGCCAGCACAGGCCGGCGGCGACGTCCGCTGAAGCACCGCGCGCTTCTGCCGGACAACCAAGACGTACGTCGCCAGGAGCAGCCCCAGCGGCAGCTTCTGCTCAGACACGACACGTGTCTCCAGTGCGCACGTACCCAACTAATGATGGCGCGCCGTTACCCTCGCAGCCATTGTCTGGAGTTTCGGTTGCCGCTGCCACTCCTATCAAGGAGTCTGACGCCGTGCGTGTACATGTCTTGCCTAAGATCACTCAGCTGCTCGAGTGGCAGCAAAAGGTCAGGAAGAACTTCGGCGCCGCTTCAGGGCGCCCCTCCTAAAGCATGCGCCTTTCTCTGCGTAGCCGAATAACCTGAATGTACCTTTGAGGGCCTGCAAAGCAGCGGTGATTTTGAGAACGTTGACTGCGAGCTGGCAACTGCTCTCAGCGACATCTTGTCCCCTGACTTGCGCTTCAAGATCAAGCTCATTGAAACCAAAGAGCACAAAGCAGGCCGCGTGTTGAAAGGTCGCCAGATCTACGGGCACATTCTACAGTCCTACAAGGTGACCGAGGTTGACGATGACCTGCGCGATTTTGAGCGCCTCAAGGAGTTGAGGATGAGAGATGAAGATCTTCAACTTTCATCGCTGAATGGGGCGCTCTCCTGTTGGATTGCCGTGAGGCGCCCGACCTCAAGATCCTCGAGTCTTTGTTCCGGGCCCAGATTCGCAGGCATCCTCGCGTGAAACAGGACATGTGCGAATGCCAGAGGATGAAACAAAGTGACCCGAATCGTACCTGCGACTGGCTTCGTCAACGAGTTCTTGATGTTCTTGAGATGAAACAGCGCGAGACAAAATCCAGAACAAGTTGCGGTGCGAATCCGAGAATCGCTCTCAGGTGAACATCTGCGCTGCATGGAAGAGAGGCAACTGCCGGAACGGGGATCGTTGCAAGGCATTGCATACGTACCCCAAGGACAGCAGAGACGGCCGATCTTCCCGTACTTCGCACGCCGGCGGCAACGCCCGCCGCAGCCTGTCGGCCCCTGCGAGTACCAGACAAAAGCCAAGTGCGAAGCTCTTCTGCCTTGAGTTCGCCAAGCGCAGTTCCTGCGCGCGTGGTGGCAAGTGTAACTTCCCGCGTATGGCGCAGTGCAGTTACTTCCTCCGGAACAAGTGCCAAAAGGGTGACACATGCAAATATGCCCACCTCGCTGCTGGTGCGAAGACGCCCGACAGGAGCCCCAGCCGCCCGCGGAATCTCAGTCAAGACAGCCGCGGCCGCCCACCATCCCGCGGACCCGGAAGCAGATGCTCTCCTCGACGCGGGGGGTTCCGGAATGCGGGGGCCTCGCATAACCGACGTGACTACAGACGCCACCACGACCGCTTTCGCTCATCCTCCCGGAGATGTGATGACTCTCGAAGCCTTCCGAGAGGTCGACATGGTCGACCATCTCGTTCATCATCCCGAGGCAGAGACGGACGTGGCGGAGGACGCGGCAGCCCACGTGGCCGCGACAGATCACCAGGCAGCGACAGAGGGCGTGACCGACGCTCAATGAGCCGCAGTTCATCTCGTGGCTCTCCCAGGTGTCGCGCACGTTCTCCGGCTGCTGGTCGCCGACCACGCCGCTGCGACCGCAGTTGCGTCATCCGAGACAAGACCGTCATGGCCGTGACTAAGGCCAGGGGCGCGCCTCCCAAAACACGACGTCGGCTACGTTTTGACGTAGACAACGTGGAGTACCTCCCGTGCACCGTCTCCGGCAAGGCCACGCTCGACAAGTGGATCGACAAGCCGAACGAAGGCGACATTGTCGACGTTCCAGACACGCTCCAATAGTGGTGGTGGAATCAGAGCGATAACGCTCTTCAATGTTGCCAACGGGAAACTCAACTATGGCATAAAGACCTACAAGACTACCGACGCGCACTCGTGTCGGTGGCAACGCCCGCTGCGATTCCAGGTTCCCTCGACTTCGCTACGGAGTCGGTTGAGACGATCCAGGAGTCGGTGGCGACACCTACTGTCGACCCACCGCGATCGACAGCCGCCCTGACACGCTCCCAGGTTCTCGACCGTGGCTCTGCGCATCGCATTCAGGACAAGAACGAGCTTACGCAGACCGAATCTGATCGCATCTGTATTCGCGAGGAACACATTCTGGAAACAGCCATGGTGACCGTGCCGTCAACGAGCACTGCGACATTCAACTACCAGAGGTAGGCTTACAGAGCTCCGCTCTTGCCTTGCCTGACTGTCCATCGTTACTTTCAGGTCTTGCGCCCGCCAGGAAACAACAGCGAAGCTCCGACGACATATTTTTGCATTTGTTTGAAATTTGGTTTGGTGGCGCCGAAGGATGGCGCTATCGTGCGCGCGTCCCAACTTGGACTATGGGGCCAGCCGCCACCCATGCATCGCGCGAGCGTCTTTATCGCCATCACTTAAGCTGTTCCAACGTTGTCATAACGCATGCATCAGATACTGCCCCTATAAGGCCCAACCACGCAGATTCAATGCGCGTGTCGCAATAATCTCACACATCATGCGCACAAGAAGCGGCGCTCCGCAGTGCGCCGTGACGTACGCCGCTGCATTGCGCAAC